CTTTTCGAAAAAATTGTGTCTGTTAGGAAAATAACTACTTTTTGGAAAGTAACGACTTTTCGAAAAAGTAACAACTTTTCGGAATGTTACCGTTACCCGCAAATTTATAAGAGATAATATTAACAGGATTTTTTTTTATTTAACAAAAATTGATTAAATAAATTTTGTCCAAAAAATTTATCAATCAATCACATCATTTGCCAAGTCCAAATCCAAATCCAAAGAAATGACTTTTCGTTTGCACTTTGCGAATGACTTTTCATTTTTCCTCCAAAGTAGTTCCCTCACTTTTGATATTCTCTCTTTTCTTTTCCCATTCACACTTGCTAAAACCCAACATACACATTATTGTGTCTTGAATAGTGTATTATTAATAATACCATGAATTTCTAGGTATTAGTAATACAAAATGATTTAATACAAGCATTAGCATAGTTAAAGATCCAATTTATCCCTCAAAAGTACTTAAACATCTTCTCCATCAAACCAAATAATGCATAAGTAATACCGAGCATAACTAATACAAGCATTATTAATACACTCTATTAAGCATTATTTATTTTATATTTATACCCTATCAAACGACCCCTTATAATATCGTTCAATGACATAAAAATAACCAATCACACCTTGTCATCATCGGATTTATTTGATTTTTCAACTTTACTTTCAATCTCCTTTCTTTAAATGTAGTAAAATTTTGTTATAACAGTCATTTGTCATAATAACATTTCGTCTAGAACTAATATATTATGCTATATTTTTGCTTCTTTATAAGGGATAATGTACAAGTACTACCTCAATCTATGTCCAAAATCTCAGAGACACACGTATACTATACTAAGGTCCTATTACCCCCTGAACTTATTTTATTAATAATTTTTTATTCCTTTTTGGCCTACGTGGCACTATCTTGTGGGCCCAATGCTGGTTGATTTTTTTTTCAAGTTAGTGCTACGTAGGCCGAAAAAAGGTAGAAAATTACTTATAAAATAAGTTCAGGAGGGTAATAGGACCTTAGTAGTATGAGTGCGTCTCTAGAATTTTGGACATAGAAAAATTTAACAACTTTTTCTAATATGTTTTCTTGATTCATCAATTTTTAAATAACAAAAATACCTAAAGAGTTTTTTCCCAAAAACATAACAAATATACAAGGTAGCATATTTTAATTTTCTTATACATATACTTGTAAGAATATAAAAAATTAATTGAATCATATCAAATAGAATTTTATACTTAATAAAGTAATTGAAAAATAAATATGATATAAATGTTATAAAATATATCTTTTTATTTATTTAATAGAGCTTTCAATCAAACTTATCATTCTCCAAAGTCTAAACTAATGACATTGTGCCACTAAAAGATTGATGAAATTTTAAAGGGGACAGTGAAGAATAATCAAAAGTTGTTTTGAAAATGACAATTCAATTTGGGGTTGGATTTTTTAAATTTTTTTGAAGGAAATTGCCCATCTTGTGTAGTTAATTATCACAACCAACTATACATTATATTATATATACATATAGACTCCAATGGACCCATATATTAATTATCAAACAATAAAGTATATAATATACATCCAATTTTTTTATTATTTTTTTGTTTTATTATTTTTTTTCCTTTTCATATAAGCCAAGCAAGTGCCAGTTCAGACTAATCTCTTTGTGTGACACTTCCAATCAACCAAAAAAAAAAAAGTATGTACGGACATGTGGACTATATTTGTTCTCTTTCCTATAAAATTATCGACCCATATATTTATTAAAAGTTGAAATTATATCCAGACATAAAAATACAGTCAAAATTAAGATTGATATATTTAATTAAAGAAAATAACTTATTTTATATGATCAATTTAATTATCTAAAGCTTTTTTAAAATTAAAATAAGAAATTTCTATTGAAACGCTTTATTAGGAGTTTAAGGTGTTCAACCGAAACACTATTAAATTCTAATGTTTAGGTAGAATATTTCGATAAGTAAAGGCAAACTCAAGATTTGAAAACTCTAAATTCACCAATATTAAGCTTATAAAAAAGGTTCTAGCTATTAATTCACCAATAATATTATGTCTGTTTATTATGTCAAATTTTTGGTTTTTTGGTATTAATTTTTTTTAATATATAACTCAAAACCTGAAAACTACGTTTATATTAATTTTGTAAAATTTCAAAAAAAAAAAAAGTATAATTTACAAATTGTACAATGCATACCTTTATACTTTTTATGAGGGCACTATTAATTATGTTTAATTTCTGTTAATTTTTCAAGATATATATAAATATATAAATTTAAAGTTATCGAATAAACGTACCTTACAAAATGCACGTGGGTCAGCCTCTCTTGACAAGTCTATGAGGCTGAGTATATATATTAAACATAAAATTTAATGTACAAATACTTATTTAAAACAATATCCAAGTGTTATATACGTCCACAAGAATATTTGTCGTGGCATCCTCCACGCAATCACCTGCTATCACTCAAGTTGTAACAGATTCACATTTGAAATTTGATTCATAAAATTTCAAATCACTAATAAATTTGCTATATATACTTTTATATTTTTAGTTCCGAGATGAAATTTTCACGCTTAAATTTATGTTTCGTATAAAAATTACGTTTATATGTGTCTAATTATATCATCTAACCATAACTGTCTAATTGATAACAACAAGTTTCACCTTCGAATAAGCTCTGTAAAACGCGATCTAAATCTAATCAAGACTTCATCAAATTTCAAATGTGCTTTCTATTTCTTACATACTATAATGGTTATTAAAGTATTTTAACGACGAAATAGATTAAAATAAAAAAAGCTAAGATATTGTACTAAAGATGGCAAAAGATGAAAATGCTAGTAGTAGATTTGGTATAGTGCAAGAATTCCCTTTCTTGTCAGCCTGTGGACGCACTTACCTACAAAATAGTCGGCAAGATCAATATTAATTTTTAGGTAAGTGGGTTAGTTATAAATGAAAATAATAGCTTCTAATAAAAATACAGAAGCTAAGTGAAATTCTAAGTTTTATAAGTGAAATTCTATATTAATTGTGTTCTTCAACGCACTCATCTCCGCCCTATTCTATTCGCCGTCATTTCTATCTTCTATAATATTTATCTAAATTATATAAAAATATTTTTAAAATAATATATATTTTACTTCGAATCAAACACCGGGTAAGAACTAAGAGATAGGTAAATAGAACACTTTGAGAACTTGTAGGATCATTTTCATCTATTTAAAATAAGATCTTTTCTTTTTATTCAAATTAGTAAAAACAATAATTTGGGGTTTAATTTTTTTATTTAATATTTTATACTTCAAAGGCAAGAATGAACTATAATTTAGAATAAACCAAATTGACCTATGGTACTAGCATTTTCATAGTTAAAATAACCGTGATGTCCAAACCAACTGAAGCGATGCCTCCATTGTTCAATCTAATACATGCTACTTCCACTAAGACAAGTACTTGTTAAATTTGCCCACCCAAGCAATTTGGAGTCTTGTACAGTTTATTTTGATGAGAATATTATGCAACATTAGCATAAACAACATGTGTGACCTATACATATCCTTTCTGTTGTGCAATCTATCACAAAATGGAATAGGGAAAACCAGCTAAATGGCCAAGAAAAATGAAAACAAAAAGGAGTTCACTGCATTCCATACACATTTATAGCTTCATATATCCGAGATCATTATTCGCGCTTGAAGCTTTAAAATACATTCAGAGAGCTCTTGCAATATCTGCTCTGTCCAATCTGAGATGGTGGAATTCTGCTTCCACAATTGTACCACTTCAATAGGATCTTCAAGACAAAATTAGATCTAAGGAAGTCATACCCTGCAAAGTAGACTCGAGTTCACATTGCACCAACAACTGAAGGAGGTGAGCACGAGTACAAGAGCACAGAGGCTCATGGTTAAGTAATGATCACATCACAATACCAAATACCTTGCTCAGTTGCGTCCTTGAGAAATAATTTCCTTATGCTTTGTGAGCGTGTCCTGGAACTCCAAGCGTTTAGCAGACCTGAGATCAACTACACTGGGAGGCATTGGTTGAAGGGACCCATGTAGCTCAACTAGTTTAAAGAATCCCTCCTTAGTAAGACTTTTTTTCTCAACTAGTATATCGACAACTGCATCCATAAGGTTTCGATTTTGATGAAGGATCTGTACAGTCATTTCAAGATTGCATTAGTGAAAACCCAAGTAGCATGCAATTTCATAACTCACACTATCTTCACTTTTCTTTCCGCTCAGACCAGGATAGAGAGGAGACATGATTTCTAATGATACCTCTTTTGCACGATCATAGCACATATGTAATACGTGAAGTGCCTCGGAATCAATGTCCTGACAAGCAAAATATATTTTGGAATTCAGGTGGCACGCAAGACACATCAATTTAGAAAATATAGATTGAGTGAAGTGCCAAGGGGAAGGCAACCCAAAAGAAAAGAGACGGGATCTTTTTTTAATTTTAGAAACATATTTGAAACTCTACCAGCGGCATACCAATGAAATATTCGTACTTCTGGAAGAGGAAAGATATACTTCTGCTAAAAATTACCTTTAAAAAACCTTGATGAATGAGGAAGGAGAAATGATAAATAACTGAAGTGAGGGGTGAAGATAGTGAAATCTTACATTTATCCTATCTGCAACCCAGAAGTCAGACAAACCATAATGTTTATCAGACAGACCACCAAGAACAAAAGTCCGAGCCGCTGACCTCGCATTATCTGCAGTCTCAGCCCATATTGTACTGAACTGAAATATTTTACATGTATTAGAGACATTGTCGCCTAAATGGACTTTATATCATGAAAAAGCATATTAACTTCCTAGGTTAGAGTTTGATACAAATAATGTGTTCACTGCTATTATTCAAGGTGCTGGATAATATATCATGGTAAATCTTAACTAGGAAAGGGTAAGGGTAGGGATAGGGATAGAGATCCACATAACTAATGCATGGAAACTTCTAGAAGAAAGTATAGAAAAGTCACGTGTTTAACATTGTACACAGTAAGTACACACAAAGGAAAGCCTGCCCATACATTTACATAGGCAGGTCTTATACTTCATATGTGAATCTGGCGTATTTAGTTAGAGAGGAACAGGAGATGTTTTGATGGAGAGTCAGCTGCTTTAGGCATTTTGAAGGCTAGGTGTATTGCCAATTTGTTTAGTTGGTCAAACTTGTATCCTGCTGCTAATGCAGAACAACTTCAGGAGTTTATTAACTCACTAGTTCTGGCTTAGATAGTTTTTATAGTTAGCCAGAGATTTTTTATAAACTCAAATGCCATATCTTGTAATTCTAGCATCTTCTTGATGCTGTTATTAATACCACTTACTTTATAAAAAAATAAAAATCCATATGTTAATCTCCCGCGTCTCTGATGCTAGTAAGAGACATTAGTTGTAAAATAACTAATGCACGGGAACTTCTGAAAGGATGTATAGAATCTCGAAACCCCTTACTAGCGAAAGCAAGGGATTTGTCTTCTGGGTCGAGCTCGTCGCACCAAGCTTGCCTAGTGCGGGTTACCTCTCCTACGTGGTTTGTGAGCTATTGCATAGGAGCGGGGGTTTTACCCTGACCCAAAGAGTAGCGGCTCCGGGTTTCCTTTGTCATCAAAAAGTGAAAGGATGTATAGTATCACGTGTTAACATTGTACACAGTAAGTATGCGAAGGAACACCTGCCCATACATTTATATAGACAGTCTTATAATTCATATGTTAATCTCACGCGTTTCTGGTGCTAGCAAGAGACATTTAGCAGCTGTTCAGAAGTCTTCTCCATATACAGTATCCTCAGAGGTTTTCAAAGCTGAAATGAAAAGAGTGAAAATCCTCTGGATGACATGTTTAAATTAGTAAAGATGATTAATACACGAGTCCAAAGCCAAAACGGTAACTTTTTTCCTAAAAAAGACAAACGGTATATCAAAAGAAAATTATACCAAAAGGGTAAAATCGCTCTTGCGGGAGCGAAGTCTTCCGAACAAAGATTAAAATCGCTACTGAAATAGCGATTTTGTCAAAAAAAATAAATAAAATGAAATCCCTGCATGGGCAGCGTTTTTTCTCAATTTTTTTTTTGAAAAACTGAAATCGGGCAGCGATTTCCCTCAATTTGTTTTCTTTGCACAAGCAGCGATTTTCCTCAATTTGTTTTCTTTTTAATTGTGCCTGTAGTATTGTTGGCTAAGTCTGCAGTTTTCATGGATCAACTAGGTGGCAAAATACAATGAGATTCATCACAAAGGAGGGCAAAATCCCGTAAAATTTATTTGAACTTTTTTTTTTATAAATCAATAAGCAACAATTAAAAAAAGAATTGAGGGAAATCGCTGGCGGCAATTATAGTTTTTCAAAAACAAAATAAAAAGTTTAAGGAGATTTCAGTTTTTCAAAAAAAAAAGGTTTGAGGAAAAACGCTGCATGGGCCGCGATTTCAGTATTTTAAAAAAATGTTTTTTTTGACAAAATCACTGCCCTAGCAGCGATTTTAATCGACGCGTAAGCAGTGTTAATTTTGTTCGAAACATTGCTCTCTCAAGAGCGATTTTGCCCTTTTGGTTTAATTTTTTTTTGATATACCGTTTATTTTGTTTGAGGGGAAAAGTTACCGTTTTGGCTTCGGATTCATTAATACACATATGCTCCTATGTATTGAAAATAAGAGCAGGAAAATAAAAGAATAGCCAATCTTATCCTAATATAACTACTTTTTTATGCATAGTAACAGCAAGTAGTTGGAACTTGAATAAATATAGGGCAAATGAAACATACCTTCTCGGAAAAAAAAGAAGGCCTAGTGAAACATTTCATGTACAGTAGTACAAGTACTAGTTGACACCTAGAATGCCAGAATGAACAGGTAACTGCACTCAGTGGGTGGGTAGTTGGGACGAGTGGCATATGTGGGCATATATGTGCATTGACATTTGGGTGTGAGACTCAAATTCCAAAGCAGCATGTTGCATAATAATATCACAAAGCCACCTCAGGTTCAAATAAGTTGCGTGAAATAGGTCTATTGATAGATTAGTATATATATCAAAATTTCTATTAAGAAAGTGGCACTGCTTATGGCGGTTTTGGTTACACTTTCCAAATTTTGGGAGGTATCCTTCTGCAAGTGATGAGGAACCCATCAAATGGAAGGTTGAGAGGGATGTTGGGGTGTCAAGAAAGCGAAAAGAAAAGGTAGTAGAGTGTCTCCTAGGTTGAGTGTCTCCTCAGATTCTGAAAGTGATGAGTAACCCATTAAATGGAAGGTTGAAAGAAGGGAGGTTGGGGTGTCTAGAAAGGGAAAAGAAAAGGTAGTGGAAGAGGCTCCTAGAAGAAAACCTCCTACTAGGTCTGATGCTAGGAAGTTGATGACTGATGCCTTAAAGGCTAGTGCAAGATCTACGGCTGAAATCAGGAGTGCCAGAACATTTAAAGTATGAAACTTTAGAATGCCTGAATCTAGTGTCATAGAGGTGTCTGCCGAAGAAATGGACAAGAAACCAAGAAGAAAAAGTCAGGAAAAACAAAGTCAAGGGATCCAAAAAGGGTTGAGAAAGCAAAACCCACGAAGAAGAGTTCTACAGGAAAACGAAAAAGAACACAGGGACCTGGTACCCAACAAAGGAGTGAAGAAGAGGTCAACATGCAAGAAATTGTTGACAACTTGAGAACGCAGGCTGTGCTGGCTGGAAGAGTCTTTGACATGGGAATAATCAATCTTCCCGGCATGGACTCTCTCCATAATATGGTGGAAATTCAGTCATGGATGCATCTATTCAACAGGAAATCTCCTATCCTTCACGAAGAGGAAGTGCGTGAATTCTACTACAACATTCAATTTAAGAAAGATGGGAGTATCCTTACAAGAGTAAATGATATTGCAGTGCATCTGGATGAGTTTCTGCTGGGCAAAATTCTCAGGGTACCTAGAGAGGGCACCAGGTCTGTGATTGGAAAAACTTGTTCGGTTGAGTTCGTGTCCTTGGTTTCGAAGCTTCCTACAACAGAAGTTGCTCGGATTTTTAAGAAGGTGATGAAGAGCGAGTATCAGTTGGTGTTCGAGTTGTAAACAAAACTCTCCTTCCTCGGACTGAAAAAAGAACTTCAACTACATCTGCTGATTTATTTGTGATGGAGAAGTTGTGCAGATTTGAACTTCTGAATCTCCTAGGGCTTATGCTTGAGCACATGTACAAGACTGTCATTGAGAGGAAAGGAATTCATGGGATGGGATACGGATACTTTCTTACTAAAGTATTCAAACATTTTAAAATTCCTTTGAGCGTTGGCAGGGATGGGACTGTGTAGCAAACCTTTTCAGAGAGTACCCTGATCGAATGTGAGTGTATCGAAGGGAAAGGCAATCCCAAGAGCAAGATGGCTCAACTCATAGACAATCAGGATCAACTCAAGCATGAGGTTGAGGACATTAACTGTGCGTTTGAGTGGAAAAGATGATGAAATTGCTATACTCAAAGCTGAACTACTCACTGCACAAACTGAGGGACCTGGTACTTCTGTGGTTCAAGCCCTGAAAAGGGAAAATGCAGAGCTGAGGGCCAAGGTTATTGCCTTGCAAGAAAAGGATGCTGCAAATGATCGACTCACTCTCATTATTCAGTCCCTTTCTCATCAACCTCCCCCTTCTTAGTCTTCCCAATCATTTCCTGTGTCTTCTTTGTGTGGCTTGTCTTTGTGTCGTTGGATTCTCAGTTTGTTTTTAATGTACTAAATGTTATCTTGGAATGCTATTTATCTTATTCCCCTGGTGTTCTAATTATTATCTATTGCGAATGCTTTTTCCCTTCTGTTTGATTGCTATCAAGCTTTGATCTTATCTGATATTACTGTTGACATCATTGGTTTACTGTATCTCTTTTTTATGATGCCAAAAGGGGGAAGTATAACTGGTAAGTGGCTGAGTTGTGTGTGAGGGGGAACAAAGCTGGAGTGGTGCCTGAGTATTGTTTGTCATCATCAAAACTCAAGTAGAAAACCTGGTACCTTTACAAGGTCCCTGAGTTTGTCATATCATCAAAACTACAAATAACAGATTAATATCGAACCAACTAATCTTTTGATTTAGGAGAACTGATTGATTTAGTGAAGATGGTTCTAAATTAGTTCTCCACTTTTTGAGAAAATGCAAATTTTTGGATGAGAATTTTTGCTGAGAACACCATATTACTTATTTTCACCACTAAGGGTTGCGGTCGGATAAATTAGGATGCCCTGGGAAATTATAAAAAATCTTGGTAGGGAGCGCTTCCAGGCACCGGACAGCGGGTGGACTTATTTCAATCTAGAACAAAAGATGAAAGTGGAAAATGTAATGTATCCTGGAAATAATTTGGAAACAACCCACTGAACCACCTTCCATTATTTTTGCTCCTCTTCTTTATTTAAATACTACCTTAAAGGCTTAAACCACAAATGTATCTTTAGGTCCTAATTTCATACAAAAAGGGATGTAACGTCTCATTGATCATTTAAATACTCAAGTGACATTTAAAATGTCTCTCCAAATATGCAGAAGAAATGTTTGCCCAGTTATTAAGCTATGAGAATAATGTAGCATACTGTCAAATTAACATCTGAAGTCTGTCTCCCGAGTTAATTGGGCCAATTACATATCAATAGATTTATTCCCAAAGGACCAAACTACATATAATGTCCCTTATGCATATTTATGTTTGTATGTCTATTTCATGTTGGACACAAGATATGTGTCTGTGTCCAAATGGCGATCGATTTGCTTCATGATACCTATTAGATTATATTTCATTATAATCTTTTAAGACTCCAACAACAGCAGCATGGATCCCTTTCAAGTTATTTAAATGGTAGGTGACAAATGATGCAAAACTAAAATTTAAAGTTCCTGCATATCTTACCTGGTGCTCTCCATACCAGAGCTCATCAGCAGCACGTGGTGCTATCTGAACAGTGATATGATCCAACAGCGACTGCCGGCTGCATTAAAATGAAGCGTCAAAAGTTACAGATGCCTATAATCAGGAAATTTTTTTCTTTGACATCTGACGGTAGTGGCTCGAAAAGCAAGAGGTGGTCGTATTTTCCAAATTGCTTATGGGAAGTAAGACCAACAGACAGTGAGGTATTTCAAAAAGGCAAATACTTCTTTCTCTGTGGTGTCTACACATATATTTCCTCATATCGCTTGAGGAAATACCTGATTAGAAGTTTGAAACACCCTCATTTATTAGTACCATTACATATACACTAGCATAACTTGTTCATTAGATTTCCAATACTTTAGTTTTAAAAGAATAAAGAAATATAAATGTAAAATGAAGGGAATAGAAGCCGTGCCTCAACATTCCTTCCTTAAATTTGACGTGATCCATTTTCATCCGCACATAACCCAGATCTCTTCCAGCCCTTGGAGCAACAGTGAGCTTATCAAAAAGAAACATTTAAAAAAAATCATAAAATGGCACTACGAAAAAAGATCATGCTGTATTACTAAGTAAAAATGGGTTTAACTAAATCATCAATTGTAATGATGCTGATAACACCTTTTTTACAAAGTATAAAAATAAGAACTCAATGCACTTTGGAAGAAAAAGAAAAAGATACTTGCATAAACAAATGGCACGAGTCTTTTTTCCCTATATTGTCAAGCATAAGGCATGAGAAATCAGAATTCAGGAAGTAGGACAAACACTGATTGTTCTTTCATCAAATTTCTCCTAACCAATCCAAGTTCTATTTCCTACCCGTACTCCAAAGCTCCTTTGTAACAAGTCATATTCTATTAAATGTGTACAGCTTACTTTGTTTAACACATGGTTAAATTACATGGAGATCTACATAAAAAAATGAGAAATCAGAAGTCAGGAAGAACATACACTGATTGATCTTTCATCAAGTCTCTACTTATTCCTAACTGACCAATTCCACTCTAACAAGTCGTATTTTACCAGACAGGTATTGCTTCACTTTAACACATGGTTAACTCAGGTTGAGATTTTAGTAATTAATCTAAATTATAAAACTAGTATCCATGTATATTGTATAGGGAAAAAGTATCATAAATTTAACATTTGAGCATGATTGCAACTACTTCATCAAACTTTCAAACAGGCAACTACTGTGTGCAAGATGATAGCAATCACACATTGCACTTTTCTCATGATGTTCAATATCTAAACAATAAACATAACACCAGAACTTGCTAATTCTTGACAAGGTAATATCATGACATGATACGCCACCAACACTGAATAATTAGGAAATAAGCCAAAATTTTGTACAGGTTCCCTAGGAGTTATCCTAAGACAAAAATTCAAGTGGAACAACAGATATTAAGCCTTTATTGTAGATATGATGCAAGCATCTGTTAGAAACAAAATGCATATTTGGGTACTATTGGAAATCGAACCGAGTGAAAAGAAGTAGGGTAAACATCAACATGATTGCTAACTCAATAAGGATACTTCACCAAACTGTAATACCATAAAACAACAACGACAAAACAGACAGTAACAAAATAGAGAAGAGTGAAAATTATTACAAACTCAATATTTCTAAGATCTGGGAAGTTCACTGCCACCACAGCCATTGCTGCTTCATTAATAGCCACTTGCTTCCACATCTCAGGGCTTCTCTCCTTCCGGTCAAGCATTCCTCGTTCTTCAATTTGTGCAGCTTGTATCAAGTCATCGGTTGTAATCTGCAAAGTCCAAACTCTAAGGTTATACAAACTTAACCAAGTCTGGTAGCGGAAGAGCACATAATGGAGAAGTGAACTGTAGGTCTGGAAGACCCATTTTAGGTAAGTATTTGGCAAAGTGTTCAGTGATAGATGGAGACCAGAATTTCATCTTTGTCATGATAAATCCAGAAGAAAATTCCAGCATACATTTTTTTTCCTGGGGGAATGGGGGCCTCTCAACAATGATATTTGAATTATATTTTGAGGCCATTCAGCAACATTAACCCACCCACTTCTCCGCCTTAAAAGGGCATCATATTGGAAGCAACAATTAAGAAAGTTTTTCTTATGTCACATGTGTAATACATAAGAGCTCAGATTTAGAAGACCTAACGCTTCTTAAGGACTACGCCAAAAAATCTATCTGTACAGTCAATATCAAGTTAACAACTATCGACATATATTGCTTAATTTATTTACAAGGTTAGAATTTTTTTTGACCCAGAGTAAACCAGAAGCTATTACCTCAGTTCTTGCATCACGCATCATATTAATAGCAGCGATCTCAACAATGTTGGCCAACTCTGCACCAACCATTCCATCAGTCATACTGGCAACAGCCATATAGTCCACATCAGGAGCCATAGGCTTCTTACGAGCGTGCACCTAATCCATGGAAATGAGATGTAAGAAGCAAAAATATATAACAAGCTTACTAAGATATTATATATCCCCTTGAAAAGAGCTTTAAGATGTTGTACATCCCCAAAGTTATTAAGCTTTTCAACAGATAAAAAATTACACATGCAACTTGCACCTTAAGAATTTCAATTCGTCCAATTAGACCAGGTTTTGGGATGTATATCTTCCGATCAAACCGCCCTGGTCGAACAAGTGCTGGGTCCAATATGTCTGGTCTATTTGTAGAAGCAATAGTGATGACTTCACCTTTGCCTTCAAAACCATCCAAGCATACAAGAAGCTGGAGAAAAAAGGGGAACATTCTAAATTAATGTAGCCTGAGATCTCCACAAGATGAAGTGACAGTTCACACAAGAGCAAAATGCCAAGGGAACCTGATTCAAAGTCGCATCACGTTCTTGTCCACCTGAACCCTTGATCAAACCACGTTCTCTGCCAACTGCATCCAGCTCATCGATGAACACCACTGATGGGGCCTACGCAAGACCACATAATAATGCTCATATCTTGTTGAGACTTTATAAGTTACATATAAAACCACTCTAAATAAAAGCAAAAATGGCTTGACAAGATTCAGAAACAAGAACATGAAGCAGCCCACTCAACAACAGAGAAACAAGCAATCAACTACTACTCAACACCAAACTAGCTGCGGTTTGCAATATTAAAAGACAAAAGCAAACAGTTCATTCAGAATAGGAAGCAAATGGCAGAATCTTAATTCACAGCATAGGTAGAAAAAGAGTAGCCAACTATAACGCCAAGCATTTATAAGCAAATGACTCTGAACGATAGCGTGGATAGTAGAGAGATAGAAAATTAACTTACATTCTCCCTTGCCTCTTGGTAGAGAGCTCGAACACGGGAAGCCCCAACACCAACATATATCTCAACAAACTGAGACGCAGAAATGGAGAAGAAGTTCACCCCTGCTTCACCAGCCACCGCCTTTGCTAACAAAGTCTTCCCCACTCCAGGTGGACCACAAAGCAGTATTCCCCCTGAAAGATTTTCTCAATAGATATGTGATGGTATAAGACAAGAATAAAGGGCACCAAGCTAATGTGCCAAACAAGGATGAAACAGGAAGGTGCAAAAGAATTACCAGGTACCTGCGCTAGTCAGACATAGCGGTACCTGGTGGAATAATCGAGGTGCACACAAGAGGACCAGATACCACCATTATTAAATTAAGAAAAAAGGAAAAAGGAAAAAGAAAAACCAAAAAGGTGCATAGTAAATCTTACGGGCACACTAAGTTGTCATTAATTGAGAAGTGAAATGTCGCAGGAAAGAACTGGGAAAAATAAGATAATTGGAGGGAAATAGCTTTAAAAAATACAAAAGCAGCAAAGTCCACAATGGCAGAGCTATTTGTATAAACTGATGTAATTAATAAGAACAAGAATTAGAAATCAAAAACTTTGAGGGAGACAGACAGACAGAGAGGTTCATCCAATTAAAGCTACAGAAGTAGATATCAAACATCTTATGTTATATTCAAGTCAGACAGAGTACTATTCTTGCATGTGATTACATTAACAAACACGGACAAGTGAAATGCAAGAAAATGTTAATAACCAGAGAAAGAGGTATTCATCTTATCATAAAATGAAGGTGTACAAATGCATTTCGCACTATAATTGTTACTCATAGACATGATATTTGTTGTTGTTATTGTTATCAGGGGTTATAGAGATAGGAAGTGTCTACAGCCAAAGGACAGAACAGTACTAAAACCTTTCTGGAAAAGAAAGAGTCATAGGTGACCTAGCTAGTAATGGATTAAAGAACCTTGGACCTGATAATGCCGGAAAATCACAGTGGAAGAACTCTTTAGCTTTGTGTCAATTTAATCCACTTAAACACACGATTTATAAGATAATGACAGTATTGCTGCTAGTGCAGGAATATATAGTACCTAGAACAAATAACTAACAAGTCTAGAGCAAATGATATGGCTTAATTCATGCAGATCGGAAATAGAAAGAGAAGGACTTCGTGCTTAAAGAAAATATGGATCAAACAACAAACTCAAGTAGAAATCTACATTCAAGAAGACCCCTACAAATCACTATCTGCATATATCTAACCTGGTATTTTGACTCCTCGCCTACGATACATCTCCCCGTGGGTGAAGAACTTAACAATTTCCTCAAGCTCCTCCCTAATTTTTCCAAGCCCAGCAACATCAGAGAACTTAACATCAATACCTCTCTCTAAATACTGGGGAAGTTTCGTATTGCGTGCTCTTCGAACACGAGCACCTGACTTCATGAATTGCATAGCCATCTTCATATAAGGATTATCCTCTCCTTTCCTTCCTTCTTCTTCGTCATCATCAACACCCTCAATCCCTTCCATTTCCCTCTCCAATTCCCTCAGCTTCTTTTTCTCCTCAGCATCTGCTTTCTCTATCTTCAACCTGTCATCGTAATCTTTTTTCTGCCTCCTATAGCTAAATACAACAGTTCTATAAAATATGTAGAAGAAAACCAAACCAAGAGCAGTGGAAACATTTGAATCACTAGCCAAGCTTTCCCACACCATTGCCATATCGCGGGAACTTCTATTCGCTTGACGCAAGGACTCCTCATACCTCATTCTCTTCAACTCTCTTTTTCTTTTACTCTCTTCCATTTTCTTCTGCATTTTCATTGCCTTCGCCATCCTCTCCCTCTCGTTCTGTATCTTCGCCAACTCCTGCTTTTGCCTTCTCTTCAATTCTTCCCTCATCCTCTTCAACTCCAATGCCTTTTTGGACTGTGGCTTGGCCTTCATAAAAGAAAGCAACCAAGCTGGAATATTTGACAAGAACCCCAAATAAGGTGAAGGAAGCTCAGGTTTTTTCAATGGTGGAGTATAAGCATTCATACAAAGTCCATCAACTTTCAATTCATCCCATTCAGCCCAAAATCTCGGATCACTCTCGACAGAAGGTAAAACAATTCTAACAACCTTGGAATCCTCTAAAACAGCTAAAACTACCTCAGGCCTTTGCTTTAACCCTACATTAGGTGGCTTAATTATATGCTTAAGTTTCCCTTCCCTTTTCAAATCCAATATTTCTGTATAAGGTAACCTATTGCTCACAGTTGGAAGACCTTGTGACCATTTTTTCAACTCTTGTGGCGTTAAAGCTTCAGACTTTTTCCTCTTTTCAGACACTTTTGCTGCATTTGCGGGTCGTACCAGTGAAGCTGATATTACAGTGAGTGTAACAGAAAGATTAAGCAAACCCAATTGACTTATCCTAATTTTCTTCTCTTCTTCAGTTCTGGGTTTGTGAGAATTGCAGGAAATGATTACCGGAATTGTATTTTTCCGATAATGGGGTTTGTTTTTTGGGGGGAAAGAAGGCAAAAATGGAGAATTGAGAATGGAATTACAGGCCATTTGAATTAAAGGGTTGAGGGTGATTACATTGTAGAGCTAAGCAAAAAAAAGTTGGAATTTGAAATTGAGACACCTCTCAGGAATTTCATCAAACAGCTTCAGGGTGAGAATTTTGGGTCAGCTTCCGTTGAATATACCGCAATTAGATACACCAATGAATGTCTGCAAAAACAGGCTCAAGTTTCTGAATGAAGAGTGGAGAGAAGAAGAAGATGACGACGACGCCGAGTAGATATGGTGGCGGGTCGCCTGCAATAGAACCAACGAAGTTAGCAAATACCGATGGCCCAATAATTAAGTAAAGTAAAGAAAAAAATTTCAAAAATAACTAATATTTTGATGTAATTAGAGATTTATAGTTATAGTTTGGATATTTACAATTGATAACTAATATTATTTAGATGTTAAGCAAAAAAAAATATTTTTTTCTTAATCTCTCTCACCTCTTCTTTTTTTTGGAAAAATTGTATATAATACCAAACTAATAATCTAAAATAAATGGAGTAGCTAAGATTTGATTTAATTGTGTTTCATAGCAAACGTTTGCAAAAAATTGTCAGGTGCTTCTCTCCCAAATATTTCGCTCGCCACTCTCCTCCAATCTCTCACTCGCTTCCTCACTTTTTATACAAACACATGTGTATAAAAAATGTTTCTAATTGTATAGAGCAGAGAAAATTGTATAAATACATATATTTTTGTTCCCCTCTCTCTTCTCTTCCAGATCTCGCTCGCCACTCTCCCAAATCTCGCTTGCCACCCTCGCCTTTCTCACTTATACAAACAGAAGCGAAATGTATAAATTGCGTTTTTGTTTGTATAAAGCGTGAGCAAATTGTATATACACATGTAAGTACATATATTTTCGTCCTATACACTTATAATTATACAATAAAAATACTTTCCTGCCCAGTTTCTTTTGTCTTTCTCTCTTTCTCATTTTATACAAATTCAAATTGTATATAATCGTTCTATACACTTATAATAATACAATTTGTTTTATACACTTCGTTTTTATACAGTTTTCTGCCCAAGTGTCTTTCTTTTTCTTATTTTATACATCTTCGTTTTATACAATTTGTTTCAACTGTATATGTATAGCGAATTATACAATTTCTATATTTGCTATGGAGCGCAATTATGCAAAATTTGCTATAGCATACAAATATGAATTTTTTATTTGCTAAATGTGAAAGTTGCCCTTCTTTGTTTCTCGATAGTCTCTTTGCCCTCTTTCACTCTCTCTCTTTTGTATTGCTACCTTATTTTTTCGATATTTTTATATAGAGGTATTAAATGACTATGGTTATGATATTTATATGTGCACATAGATTGTATTCTCTCTTTTTTATATTTTTTTATCGGGCGATTATATTTTATATGTCATACGTAAGTTTAAATTTTACTCTGTATTTTTACCTTTCTTGCTCTTGTATCACGTATATTCTTTCGCTATATTCATTCACTTTGTATTTGTATCACTTGTTATTATTCGCGCTCCTATCATTAATTTTATTCAAAGCTTTGTTTTAAAGTTGTAACTATTCGCGCTTATATTATTAACTAGTCATTGGACATGCGCGTTGCGTGTGCCTCGCGTGAATGAGTATAAAAAATTAAAAATATAATTACATAAATACAATTAAATATATATTTAAATTATCAAATGATATTTAAAAAAAAAGTATAAATTTTTGTAAGTTGATGAATATATATATCATATTTAGTAATTAGATAGAGAAAAAACCTTATCATGCCAAATTCCTCATATCGATGTTTTTATTGTATTTAGTATGTATAAGTTGTGTATGTAAAGTGCATAAATAAAGTAACATAGTGAGTTTAGTCATATTAACATTGACTTTTGATCATTTATTCATGGTTTTAAGATTTCTTTGATGAAATCACTTGCAAGTCTATACAAGAAAATGGAACAATATGATTAATATATAAATATATGGTAGCACTTGTTAGTTTTGAAGTACAAAATTCAATTACTTTGTTATCATTGCGAATAGTATAATATCTTCGGAAGAATGGTTAGTAAAATTTCATTCAATTTAAGCACTAAATGATGTTTCTTCTCTCAATATACTTCTCTTTCTCTAATTCACGTAATATTATTATATTAAACAATTATAGAGAATCTGAAAATTACTTTTAAGTGGAGATAAAATAAACTATCAATATAATTTAATCTTTCAGATTA